GGGGGGAATTTGGAGGGGTTAAAGGGGATTTGGAGTGGGTTAAAGGGTATTTGGGGAGGTTAAAGGGAGATTGGAGGGGGTTAAAAGGGGGTTTGGGGGGGTTAAAGGGGATTTGGGGGAATTTGGAGGGGTTAAAGGGGATTTGAGGGGACTGGAAGGGTTAAAGAGGGTTTGTGAGGGATTTGGAGGGGGTTAAAGGTGGCTTAGGGTGGATTTTGGGGGGTTTGGAGGGGATTTGGGGGGGATTGGAGGGGGTTAAAGGGGGTTTGGAGTGGGTTAAAGGGGATTTGGGGGGATTGGAGAGGATTAAAGGGGGTTTGGAAGGGATACTGGGGGGGTTTGGGGAAGGTTTGGAAAAGATTTTGGGGGTGTTTGGGGCACATATTTGGGGATCTGGGACAGGTTAGGGTTTTCAGGGTGTTTTGGGTGTTTCAGGCTGGTTTGGGGTATTTCAGGCTGGTTTGGGGTATTTCAGGGCGGTTTTGGGGTATTTCAGCGCAGTTCTGGGGTATTTCAGGGCAGTTCTGGGGTATTTCAGGGCAGTTCTGGGGTATTTCAGGCTGGTTTGGGGTATTTCAGGGCAGTTTTGGGGTATTTCAGGGCAGTTCTGGGGTATTTCAGGCTGGTTTGGGGTATTTCAGGGCGGTTTTGGGGTATTTCAGGGCGGTTTTGGGGTATTTCAGGGCGGTTTTCGGATATTTCAGCGCTGGGGTATTTCAGGGCGCTTTTTCAGCATTTCGGGGTGTTTTGGGAGTGGTTTGGGGGTCGTACCTTCTTGGCGTAGTCGGTCATTTTGCGGGGGGAGCTGAAGAACAGGATCCGCGCGGCCTCGGGGAACAGGATCCGCTCGTAGGCGGCCTCGATGCAGCCGGCGATCTCATCCCTGGGGTTTGGGGGAGGTTTGGGGGGCTCAGAGGGGACCTCAGCAGCTTTGGGGGGGATTCAAGGGGATTTTCAGGGGTTCTGAGAGATTCTGGGGGGATTTGGGGAGATTTTGGGGGGATTTGGGGGTCCCAGAGCTGATGGTGTCCAGCAGGATGTCGATGAAGAAGGTGGAACTCTGCCCAGGGTGATTTTGGGGAGATTTCAGGGTGGATTTGGAGAGATTTTGGGGGGATTTGGGGGTTTTTGGGGTCCCAGAGCTGATGGTGTCCAGCAGGATCTCAATAAAGAAGGTGGAACTCTACCCAGGGTGATTTTGGGGAGATTTTGGGGGGATTTGGGCATATTTTGGAGATATTTTGGAGGGATTTGGGGATATTTTGGGGGGATTTGGGGATTTTTGGGCGTCCCAGAGCTGATGGTGTCCAGCAGGATCTCAATAAAGAAGGTGGAACTCTGCCCAGGGTGGTTTTGGGGGAATTTTGGGGGGATTTGGGGATATTTTGGGGGTTTTTGGGGTCTCAAACCTGATGGTGTCCAGCAGGATGTCGATGAAGAAGGTGTAGCTCTCTGCTGGGATGTTGCCCTTGGCCAGGAAAACTTTGTTGTAGCTACCCTCCATCAGGTACTGTGGGCAAAAACGGGATAAAACACCCCAAAAATGGGAAAAAAACACCCAGAAATGGGATAAAACACGCAGAAATAGGAAAAAAACACCCGAGAAATGGGATAAAACATTCTAAAAATGGGGTAAAACACCCCAAAAAGGATCAGAACTCTCCAATATTCTGTAGGGATTCCAGGCCCAGCTTCCAACATGAAATTCCTGCACCAAATCCTCCCCAAAACCCCCCCAGGACAGTCCCAGAGCTGCTCCAGGTGGGATTCCAGCCCCAAATTCCCGGAATTCCAGCCCCAAATCCCCCTGAATTCCACCCAAATCCCCCCCAGACCTGCTCCAGGGACACGGGGTGCCGGATGAAGAGGTTCCCCTGGAATTCCTGCCCCAAATCCGCCTGAATTCCTGGAATTCCGGCCCCAAATCTCCCTGAATTTCCCCCAAATCCCCCAAATTCCCGGAATTCCATTCCCAAATCCCCCCAGACCTGCTCCAGGGACACGGGGTGCCGGATGAAGAGGTTCCCCTGGAATTCCTGCCCCAAATCCGCCTGAATTCCTGGAATTCCAGCCCCAAATCCCCCCGAACTCCCCCCAAATCCCCCAGACCTGCTCCAGGGACACGGGGTGCCGGATGAAGAGGTTCCCCTGGAATTCCTGCCCCAAATCCCCCTGAATTCC